TCCTCGCCGCCGACCTGCCCCGCTCCGGGCACGCAGAGGGGTGCTCAGAGATAGCCAAAAATCAGAGCTGCTGGAAAGGGGCTCAGGGTCTTTGCTCAGCAGGTTTTGCTGTTTTATATTCCTTTTTGATGCAGAGTTAAAACCAGGGCATCTAAGCTGCTTGCAAGCCTGCTTTCAGGCAGGAGACGCCTTTGCTCCGTTAGCCCAGCGTCCGCCGCGGCGGCGCGAGATGAGAGGCAGGTTGGAGTTGCTCGTCCCCAGAGTATAAATTTTTGAGCCCAAACTGAGCGCAGTCAGGGTCCGGAGGCAGGACCTGCCACGTGCCCGACCGTGAGCGCTCCGTCACCCCGCGTCCCGGGCTGTGCGAGCAGGCTCAGCGAAGCCCAAGCGCTGTCAGGCAAGGGACGCAAACTGCGGATGGGTTTTTCTTTGCTCTTGAGATCATCCCAACCCGCAGGCCTCGCTAGCGTGGGTGAAAGTGGTGGAAAGGGTCTGCTAGCCCTCTCCAGGTGAACGCTGAGGCATCGTAGGGCTCAGAGGAGCACGCCTGCTCTAAGGAGATGTGTGTTTACAGGCAGGGTGGCATTGGTTTCTGGGCTGATTTCCTAGAAAGACATGGGAAAGGCAAGCTCAGGGGAGGAAGCAAAGGGCCAGGTGCTTGGTTTTGTTAGCATGGATCCCATAAACATCGGAGGAGCTGATCAAGAGGGGAGCGTTCGTCTCTCGGGAGGCAGGGATGAGGGTGGATGGGGTGCAGCGACCCTTGGAAAGGAGGCTCCTGCTCCATGGAAAGTGGAGTGGAAATGCCATGAGGAAAAAAGGGCCTCAGATCTGCGCGGTGGCGTGTATGACGGCAGCTGCAGCCTCCCTGCTCCGTGAAGGGAGAAATCGGCATCTGGGACCTCACTGCCAAAAGCTTATTTTTTCCAGCTGCCAAAATATACAGATTTGGAGGATCAGAAGTTGCTAGTGAAGAAGCAGGGCTGGCAAGGAGGAGGTGGCTGAAAAACACTCTTCAGGGGAAAGCTCCCAACAAAACCATTCTCTGCAAAAAGACAAGCCAGAAATACTGTCTTGCTATAGTGTGCGTTGGTTCTGAAATGTCAGCGTAGGTTAGGTACCTCCTGCTTGGTTTTTGTGGGCAAAGCAGCTTTGTGAGCACCAGGTTCTCCCCCGAGGCAGTCAGGGCCTTTCCGGAGCAATGACAAACCCCATATTTGGTGCATTTTCCCCAAAAGCTGCAGTTCTGGCCCATTTAGCAAAGCAAGGCTCTGGAGCAAGAGCCACTTGTTCATGAGCATATCCGGGCTGCCTGCTTCTAGCCCGTTTGGTATCTGCGATGTCAGGAGAGCTTGCCTGGGGGCTCCTTGTTGCAACAAGAAGTTTTTGCAAATAAATTATTGGGACCAAGCAAAGGCGTGATCGGGGCAATGCTTGGGGAAAATAGTCCTCCCATCACCACTGGCTGGGCAGAGTAGCTGCCTCCATCCATGTGCGGGGGGATCGTGACACTCTCTGGCGTGGCTGGAGCATGCCCAGGAGGTGGAAAGAGGCTGGCACAGATGGCAGGAGATGCCATCCAGCTGTAGGTGAGGCTGGAAAGGCCTCTCGCCAGGTGGCCGGGGGGATCTCTGCTCGGGGAGATGCCGAGTGCTTCCTGCTGGGAAGACAGTGAATCCGGGTGCTGTGCAGGAGGGATGAGGGAAGCACTGAGGTGCAGAGCAGCTGTGTCTCCAGGGCTGTCCGTCTTGCTGGCTGCTGACTGCTGCATGTCTTGTTGTGTAGAGTACTCCATCCCCGTGCACAAATACTACTTCCCCTTCATCTTCCTCCTGGGGATGTTCCTGTGGTCCCTGCTAGAGTACCTCATCCATCGCTTTGTCTTCCACATGAAGCCACCTGCTAGTAACTACTATCTCATCACCCTGCATTTCTTGTTGCATGGCCAGCATCACAAGGTGAGTAGCTATGCCTGTGCCGGCTGCCTGCTGCCACGGGGAGCCCCGGGCGTGGGAACGACGGACTTTGCTCAGGCGGAGCCTGTCTGTGCGTGTTCAACGTGACTTGTGGCATCTTTGCCCTGAGCGGGGCCCTTACGTAATGCTCGGGAGAGATGGGCTCGGAGCGACGAGCTCCCCGAGAGCCAGAGTTAAACCTACCAACTCTGCTGACAGGGTGCAATGGAAAGACATAAAAGCAATGGGCTCCCTCTAGCTTCGTTGGAGGAAACGTCCCCGTTAGAGCTGGGCCGACCTGCGAGCCGAGAGCCGCCAGCCCTGACGGCCCCAGCCACCTTCCTCCCGCATCGGCTGCCAGTCTCACCCCTAAATAAATCTGCAGGGAGAGGCTTCTGAGTGCTGCTCTGCTGTTGGCTTTTCTGAAAAAAAGGAGCGTCCTAAGTGCACGTACATAGGCCCGGTCCCTCGGCTGGGGTAGGTTGGCGCTGCTTTAGTGCAACCAGAGGAGTTGTCCCCTGCAGCACCGTGCCTCGCACTGGAGCCTGAAACTGGGCTCTGGTTTGGGGTTATCTTAAATACTTGCTGGTGCTGGACTGCTGTGTTCTCCCCTGTTTTTTTTTTTCCTTCTTGGGACCGCCAGCAAAACAGTTTTCTGGGAGGCCACTGCTACGACTGCAGTGAGCTCCAGTTTGAACGTGCAGTGGCCAAGAAAGAGCTGTTTGGGGACAGGGTTTGCCCTGGGCTGCCCCAGTCCTGGCTGGGGTCCGCAGCAGGCTGTGCCCGATTCCCCGGTCGTGCTTTGCAAGCCGCCGGGCAGGACGTGCTGGGGGCTTGGGAGGGGGTCAGCCTGCTGATCGTGGGCTGGGTAGCTGGGAGCTCGCTTTCTCACCATCTCTCTCTGCTTCCAGTCTCCCTTTGACAGCTCCCGCCTGGTCTTTCCTCCCGTGCCGGCGTCGCTGGTGATCGGCTTCTTCTACGGGGTCCTCCGCCTCCTGCTGCCCGAGGTGCTGGGGCTCTCCGTGTTTGTCGGGGGGCTCTGCGGCTACGTGGTCTACGACATGATGCATTATTACCTGCACTATGGCTCGCCAAAGAAAGGCACTTACCTGTATGGGCTGAAGGCTTATCACGTGAAGCACCACTTTGAACACCAAAAATCAGGTAATGGCGTGTTTCCAACACGCGCTGGTGTGGCAGCCCCATCGCGGGGGGAGCTCAGAGGCGTTGGAAACCACGCTTGCCTTCGGTCCTGCGGATTTAGCTGACACACTGAGATGTTTGAAGCTTAGCACCCGGTTGGGTCTCTGGGCTGGGAAACGCTGCACAGAGATGCCTGGCTGAGCTGGGGAATGGCGTGGGCTTGCAAGGGGAGGTGTGGCGTACCTGTGCTTCAAATTTTCCATCCGGCGTCCCTCATAGAGGCTTGTACTTGGGTTTATCATGCTGCTCTTCCAGTTTCTGCTGCAAGGCTGAGGTTAAGGTGTGGGTTCCCCTTTCTCCTCCCTGCCTGCAGTTACCCGAAGGGATGGCAGGCAGTCTGCATGGCTTGGGGCACCCCGGCATGGGCACCCCATGGTCGAGCCTTTGCTGGCCAGTGCAAGTGGGCACCTCAGCACTCGCAGTGCAACGCTAAAGTTAAATTTAGGAGCTGGTGAGCGTGCATCTGATTAGCATGTCAGTGATGCTCTCGGGGGGTCACGTTTGTTGGGACGGGGGGGGACGATGTGCTCCTTAGTCTTCCCCAAGAATCATGCATCAAAGGCTTGAAACCAAGCTTGGTTTTGGAGTCCTGGGTGTGCAGGTGGGGTATCCGGACCCAAGCGCTGCACCGCTTGGTCAGCAGCGTATGGGATGACATAGCTGCATGAGCCCGTTTATCGGCCCAGGAGCTGTGGGAGGGGGAACCGCAGCAAAGAGGCTTCTGGGCAGAAGTTTCCCTGGCGTTTCTGAACGTGTCAGCTCGGTCAGCGTTGAACGCGAGCCCGCAGGGCACGCTGGTGCGTTGCAGCGGCCGGGCGGGAAGCCTCTCCTCGGCCTGGCCGGCCGGGAGCAGCTCTTCTGCTGGCCGGTGCTGGCACCTAGGGGGTGGCGTC